GTGGCGGCTGCACCGCAGTTGCCGAAACGTCGCCGGTGGTGGTGCTTGCTGCGGCAGCCCCGTCCGTCGACTGCGCACCGTCCCGCACCGGTTCTGCGCTGTGCGGCTGCGGGCCGACGCCGTTGCCGGCAGCGGGGCGATTGCCAGCCGTCGCGGAGCCGGCCGCCGCTGCGTCAACTTCTGCACCCGGCGGTGGTGGTGGTGGAGGCCGTGCAGGCACCGACGCCCCAACGGCGGCTTCCGTTTGCGTCGCACCCACCGCCGTCGGCTGGGCGTCGCTGGCAACGCCGCCTTCGGCGCGCGGCGGCGGAATCGTGCAGCTGCCGAGTTGCAGTCGCTTCAGCTCACCCGCGCCCAGCACGCGGCTGTACAGCAGGACGTTCGCCACCGTCACGTTGGGGCTGCCCGCAGCCGCGTGCGTGCCATCCATGCCGAAAAAGAAGTGCGAGATCCGGTGTGAGTTGAACAAAGCGCCACTGTACTTCTTCCCGTAAATCTTTTGCCCACCAACGTACAAAGACCAATCGTTCCAATCCATTTGCAGCGCCACTTGAACTGCCGTGTTTGGTGCCCACGCCTCAGCACGCTCCTCGGCATCGGCATTATCAAGTTTGGCTTTCCACTTCCTCTCCTTCGTGTACGACAGGCCAAAGAGCTCAGTGTTGGCTTCGTCATTCATCCTCACGCCCAGCAGAGGAGTGTCGTCCTTCTCCGGCACCGCGTGGATCGTCACCGTCGCCACGAGAGCGAACTTGGTGTTCGCATAGTAGTACGGCTGGTTCTGCCCCAGTTTCCCCACGGGCCACTCCGCCCCCGCCCCGGCGCCGCTGAACGTCACACCCCCCGCCGCGCTCGCCGCTGCCCCGTGAACAGTTGCATTCACGCAGAGGTACTCGTCCTTCCATGAGGTCTGCTCCAGCGTGCCGGCCAAAAAGCCAAGCAGCCCCTCAGTGAGGGGGGGAACATAACGCGCGCCCAACGTCCCCTGCGGGTTGCCATTGCCAGTGCATCGCTGTAAAGCCTCGTCCAAAGCCGTCCACGTCCTCACCACAGACTTTACCTGCTCCAGCTGCTCCGTCAAGCGCACAGACACAACACTGTACGACTCCTCGCCCGCCTGCTTCCTCTTTTCGTACACCGAAATCAACTCCCCCTGCTTGTCACTCTTGTAGAACAGGGAGCTGGCAGCGGCGTCCTCCTCCGCGGCGGATATCGGCCCGACGTCGTACACGCGTTGCCTGTCCGTCAACCAAAGATGCAGCCGACCCTTTCCTTCTTGCTTTTCTTTGCCCTCAGAATACACCGGCATCGTGAGGAGCATCAGTTTTTTCCCCCCAATGGTGGCAATGACGAACCCGCTTCGCACGCCTTTCCCCCTTCGGGCGCGTGAGGTGCCCCACACGCGGGAAAGTACCGC